GCCTCCTCTAGTAGGTCCCGGTTCAGCCTGGCAACAGCCCACCGCGGAAAGCGGGATAAACGCCGCGCCACGTGACCCCTACTGGAGTCCTGGGTCCGGGAGAGCTCAAATCGGATATACAGGTGATCCGAGAGCGTCTCAACCTCTTCCAGGACACACCAGTTCCTTACTCGTGCGGCGAGGACAGGGGTAGCGAACGAAAGGTCCACTATCGACCCCCCCTGCTGTCGCACGCACGTGTTGGTGGAGCCTCTGTTTAGAAGACAGAGGCCCACCGAGGCCGCCCACTCCTCTACGGCCTCGCCCCTGGCGTCCGTCCTGGGGGAACCCCACGCAATGGACTTTGCGTTGAAGTCCCCCAGCACAAGGACGTGCCCAGACGCTAGTCGCCGTATCGAGGTCTCCAAGCTGGTTAGGAAAACCTCGAAGTCGTTCAAACTCCGGTTGGGGGAGAAATAGACACCATATATGGTGATCCCCCCCCACTCGACGGCAACATATCCAGTGCCCTTGTCTCTTAGCGACAAGGGCGGGGAATGAGCCGTCGTGGAACCGACGACTGCCACGGAGCCGTCCCAGTCACCCATCCAGTTTGGACGGGGAGGGACAGAATAGGGCTCCGCGACTACGGCAACACCTATCGACCACTGTGCCATGGTTTGCAGGAAGAGATCCTGCGCCGCGGCACAGTGGTTCAGGTTCGTCTGGACCAGGAGGTTGGAGACTTGATCCATTACTGGATCGTCTCTACAACCTCCTCCATGGGCGACGACGTCGACGCACGAACTACATCGGAGGCAGCCTGGGTCGACTGGCTAACCCCCGACGACCCCCTATACCAACCCGTCTGGCCAGCGTGGTATAGTAGGCCAAAACCTCCTTTCTAAGGAGAGGCCTATGTTCTGCAGTGGACTAGTAAAGGCTGTTGATGTGAATCCCTAAAATAGACCTGTATCTTAGGGATCTGAGTAATTTTCGATGTCTACATTTTAAGTTTCTTACACCTTAACATTTTTAATCTTCGCTGTGGTGATATAAATATGAATGTATATATTAGGTACCACGGGTAATGGTTTGTATATAGAAGTGTTGTGTGAGTGCACTGCTGTATAGGGTTCAGGGTGGAGTATAAATGTAGGCAGTGCACTTGTGCCTTGTGTTACGGTGCCCATAAGCTGAGGTAGTTACTTTAATACAGCCATAATTTGAAAGCAAAGCCATGGTAGGGGGTTCAAATCCCGGAGCGGGTATAATTTTTATAGGGTTTTTCTAAGAGAGAAAATAGCCTAAGTCCTTACATACACAGTTACCTGGTAGTAAAATATTATCAAAATCGGTCCAGCCGTTTACCCGGAACAAACAGACAGACAGACAAAAAAATATTTAAACTAATTTTTAGGCATAGGTATCGTTCAAATAACCGTGTGAGCATGAAAAGAACCTATTATTTTGACATTACAAACAGACACTTCAATGTTATTTATTTGTATAGATCGTCACAATTATATACAATCTGTTACTTTTATTGCGAATTAAAAAAAAAAAAAAACAAATCGACGTTTTATCGACGTATCGAGATGTTTTCGAGCCGTGGCACGTGTACCGTGGCCAGTTTTGGAAGCCATTGACTTCATAACTGGTTCCGGTAGCCCACTTATAGGGGGAGTGAGAGTGACCGTTTTGTAAAATTAATTCGACTTGTCATCTATAAAACGTGTTAAATAACTTACCCTTTTTTTTTCTGTGTGGGACTCCCCTCGAATACCACCCACCAGTGGGTGATTATGTCGGACTCGGACTCGACAAAACCGCACGTCGTCTCCAGTTACCAGTAGCCTGGGAACCAGGTATACCTTAGAAAGGAAAGCTCTGGTACCCCGACATACCTCGGACCATCTACGACTTATAGATGACCCCCTCTTGTGTAGGAACCCGGATGACCCGAAAATTACTTACCCTGAGTGCCTGACTGACTGATTTGACTCAAAACCGCTTCGGCTACACATAAAAACATTCCACCCACTAAGAAAGGACTTTTGGAAATTTCACCCCTAAGGAAGTAAATTAAGGGATGAAAGGTTGTACAGAAACTCGTAATTTTTAAAGTTAGAAACGAATCTATTCAAATCAATAAAATTGAAGTGTATGTTTGTAATGTCAAAATAATAGGTTTTTTTTATCTATCTTTTTAATCTTTTAATCTTTAAAAAAGACAACGCCCGCATTAGGAATAAATCCTGTGTCGCGGGGGACTTTACAAACATACATGAAACGGACACAAAGGACACCCAGACTCAGAACAACAATTTGTGGATCACACAAAGTGTCGTCCCACGTGGGGTTTGAACCCACAACACTCGGCGTAGTAGGAAGCGGCGTGGCGACCGCTTAAACCACTACGCCATCCGTGCAGTCAAAGTTATGCTCACACGGTTATTTGCACAATACCTATGCTTAAAAATCAGTTGAAATATTTTTTTATGAGCACCATCACATAATTATTTGTCCTGGGTAGGAATCGAGGCCACGGCCTCTGGCGTAGCAGTCAGGGTCACTAACCAGATAATATTTTACTACCAGGTAGCTGTCTACACAAGAAGTAACTTAGGCTATTTTGCCTCTCAGGAAACCCTAAAAAAAAATTAACCCGGTCCGGGAATCGAACCCACTAAGGCAGCGCTTTTAAAATTATATGCGAACGAAGTCGCGGGCACCAGCTAGAAAGAAATAATCACGGGAGCGAAGACGCGGGTTTCTGCAAATTTCTGTTAAAAAACTTTGTGAGGAACGAAATTGTTTTTATACAACTACCTACTAAATACCGGATAAAATTCTTGACTTGTTTGACTTAGATTACGGGAGATATGAGATTATACTAAAGAATTTCACTTGGATATTAGTCTAATTTTTTAAGATATCGTGAGTTCGATGACACTTTGTATCAATTTTAAATACCTATATTTTTTGTAAAAACAAAATAAGATTTAAAAATAACAAGAAATGAACTCACATTTATAGATAATTACAACTTTATTTTAAATTTTGAAACAAACGTTTGTTTTTTTTATTTTACCTCAAAAAGGCCAATTTGAACATGAAATATATTTAAATTAGCTTTTTGACAACTCACTATAACTTACATTAAAAAAATATATACATCATATACAGAAGACATAATTATATTTTGGAAGTGAAAACTTCTTTATTCGCGCTGGGCATTTTTGAACCACAAACAAAAACATTATTTTTTGAGATGGGAAAAAACCATCTGTATATAAGTATCTACATATATTGACCCCGTTTGCGCGAGAGTTGAGTTTGGGTTGAAAAACATTGATAATAAACCTATATAAAATATAAACATATACGTACAACATAGCTATATTTTAATGTCGGAACTTTTCGAATCGAAAAAAACAAAAAACACCGGTCATAATCAAAATTTTCTGGTTTTCACTGCTGTCGGCACTCCCGGTGTGCCACTGTTTTTTTATCATACCGACACAAATTTTTTTTAAAAGGAGATTATTCATTCTTTTTTTTCCCTATATTTAGTCATCACTACATCTCTAGTAATATGCCATACGTCAACGACCTTATGCTATGCCCCAAAGAGATTTAATCGAGCTGTCATTATTTCTATCACATCACATCACATCAACAGCCTTTACTAGTCCACTGCTGGACACAGGCCTCTCCTTAGAAAGGAGGTTTTGGCCTACTATACCACGCTGGCCAGACGGGTTGGTATAGGGCTTCTTTCAAGTTTTCCTTCTTTCTGCAGTGCTGTTGACCTGCGTAGTTTGTTCCCTTAGTGGCCTCTTACGACACCCACGGGATGAATAGGGGTGGTGACACTCTGTATTCTTAATCCGTCACCACACGGACGTATTTTCTATACCTACCCTTAAATAAAAACACAAACAGAATATAAATTTTTGATCCAACAACTCTGAATTTTACATTAAATTTGTAATGACTAGTTCCGAGATAAGGGAGATCCTGATGATTCCTTGTCTTATGGTAGTCATCGAAGAGGTCAGTCTCCTGACCTGTTCGGCCTCTCGGCCTGTGAGACCTACAGGCCGAAATACTTGCTTTATCATACCAACTGCTCATCAAGATCCCAACGAGCAGGACAATTGTAGCGTTAAGATCACGGAGTATTAGGTAACGAGGTGACACGGCAGCCTCACCATCCGGTTGATACAGGATCACCGGATATGTCTGCTTCGGTAAATACTCGTATATTTGCCGTATAAGCCGTGTCGCTAGGATACTGCACTCCACACTATAGTAGAGTGTTTACTTAACGAGGTTGAAGCATCACGATGTATTGAAAACACATTGAAAACGTTAAAAAAATAATTATAATAATAATTTCACACATCTCCCACACGGCCGTCTGATCCCAAACTAGGCAGAGTCTGTGCTATGGTCACCAGACTGATGATAAACATTCTTAAATATTTCTAAATACATACGTAATATATGTAGATAAATTACACCTAAACACAGAACAAAGTATCGTGCTCATCACACCGTTATTTGTCCTGGGTGGGAATCGAACCCACGACCTCCGGCTCAGCAGTCAGGGTCACTAACCACTAGACCAACAGGCCCGTCATATATCCGGACTTTTTTTTTAGTTTTAAATATGAAAATGTCTTTTTACAGTGGATAAAACGTTTAAGTAAATTAAATATATACAAATAAAACTTCATTGTCAAGGTTAAAGTTTATCTGTCAATGCCCCGATGATGAAACACAAATCTTTTTATCAGTTCGATTAGATTATGTTTTGTGCAATAACCAAACAAATAATAGATAAGTACATATATCGTGGCAGCTTATTGTACTTTTATTTATTATCTCCATCGATCTATGAACAAATTCCTTCAATAATTTACTCAATAACAGTTTGTCCGTTCAGCAATTTTAGTTTCATTGCGTATATAGTTCGTTGGTACGCCGTGACCACAAGACATTAAGTGGGTATAATGGGTGGCGTGTTGTGTGCACAACATTGGCCCTTACATCACAGCATGGCGGGCCGTGGTGGCGGCGGCGTGGTCGTGCTCGTGGTCGCCACTCACTCGCCGCGTAACCTTGCGTACGATGATAAACAAGTGACGTCACTAGCTATTTTTAACCATGTTTGTGCCGAGAGCTGTGTGCGAACATGCGCGCGCGCGAGGTCAACGCCCTACACCACGGCTGTATGCTGTATCCTAACCGATCTGAAAGTCCGCAAACGATACGCTTCGTTCGTCGTTTAGATTTCTACAAAATACTACGCCGTACACTTTATTGGCCTCGTGGGTGATAGTGGAACACTCCCTTTATGGCTGACTACAGAATCTAATTAAGTTACCGTGTCTGTGAAATAGGCTGTGATTTAATCCGAGTTTTTCTTGTCAGCGGTTTTTCTGATTACCGCGAACGTTTATAAGTCGACCAATATTGCCACATCTTAAACAGTAGAAATCCGTTAAAATTTTAATTGAAGAATAAACGTATTTTTTTTGTTGTCGAAGCTTGGTCTTTTTTTAATGATCCTTACTAATAATGGTATATTTATAAAGGTCGTTTAACTTTTGTAGTCTGTTCTGTCTAAAAAAAAAATTGAAAATATCATGTAAAAACAATGAAAACATGGCAACACTGCTCGCCTATCCTATTACAAGATTAGTTTGGAACTACATCTCACCGTTTTACTTTAGCGTGTTATGTTAGCTTGAATGTCAACAAATCGTTCATTTCTGTAACGGTAGAAAGAAACAATCAGAAACTAAAATTGAAAAGACTGGTAGAAATTCTGTTGTTGTACAAACTCGGAATAACAAAGGTGCAATACCGTTCAAGAACAGGTAGCATTGAGTCGAACAAATAACAGTAGCAAAATATCGCATTCAAGAAAATAAAGTCAATTTCATCTGTGACTTCTCTTACGTACGACCTTCAAAATCAGCCAAGAATGTGTAAAGTTCATCACGTGTAAATTCATGCTTTAGGTATGTTCTGTATAATTTTATAGACAATTGTACTTCTACAATTGAGTATAGAGATTTAATAATATTGTTTTGGTTTCCACTTAGAGATTTAATAATATATAATATTGTTTTGGTATTTAATAGGACAACGCGATTAATTTTCTATAAACACATTGGTTGCAGACACCACGAGTGTACACATTCATAACTCGGAACGAAAACAAAACGTCGACAAAACATTATTGTGAACTAGCGCGTCGCTAATGACATCATAAATAACCGAGGCTTTGCTGTGGCGCGACATTCCAAATTCAAATTCAAATGAAATATAATCAACTATTCGAAATTCAAATTGTATTAAAAACTATGGGTTACAAGCATTAAAATTTGTAAATGGCGTAATTCTGATTAATAATATAATAAATAAAAAAAAGTTTATTTCATCTCCACAAATTACATTTTGTTTTATATTTTACAGTTGACAAGAAGTTGCATCTTTAATTTTGTTCCTAAGCAATTTATTTTAATAATTGTGTTTAGAATGTCAGGAGCAGATTCATAATGAAATATAACACACATAATCAATAATAGTACACATTAAGCAGATTATGTCAGGAAAGAATAAGGAGAGGATTAATTTACGACCATTCAATTTGGCGCGCAATTATTAAACCTAATATATGTTTAAAAACATTGCGTACCAAATGCAGTGATACATTGATGAAAATGTGACACTCTAAGGTAAATAAAATAAAATGTATTTGAAATTATCATTTAAAACAAATTTTCTTCTTAAAAAGGACGAGATTCTCTATTCGTTTGTTTTTTAAATGTTTGTTACTTTAGTACACCGTAGTTTTTGAACAGATTTTGACAAATCTTTTTTTATTTGGTATATTATCCATTTGGTCCCATTGAAGAAAAAATACTACCCCTAAGGATGGGCAATTTACTTAAAGTTTAGAATAGCAAGTAACGGCGACTCCTCGCCAGCCACCACAAGTAGCATCCTTTCACGAAAAACTGTGTGTTGTAGTATGAGTAAAGTACGAAGTGTGGCACGCCCGGCTTGCAGTACCGACAGTGGCGTACAAGGGTGACTGAGCATTTTCAGAATTGGCATTCGGTACGCGGGAACGCTTTGTTCGTCGTTATCTGAACGAACAGCAATGTCTGTAAACGGTAGTGAAAGGGCGATACGCGCCGAGCGTCGTCGACAAAGGGCGATGGTTAATGCGATCCGACGTTCGGTAGCTCGGTGCCGTTTTACGGGCTGCCTTCCCGCTCAGCTGGAACGTTTTCAATTTGCCGGGACTTAGCGAATTCTCATTTTGCTCAAGGTCCACTTGCACAAAGGCCCCGCGTATATCACAACACCACCCCGACTTAATCCTACATTGTCAGTGCCTAATACGCGTAGAAGTATTGTAAGCTGAACGCTCCGTAGATAAGTTTATTAATATTTTATGTCTGCAAGCTCCTCAAGCAAGGGCTCCTCGTACAATTACGTAAATGACTCCTTCGGAAATGTTTCGTTCTTTGATTAAACAATTGATCACAAATATCTTTGTTATTTAAATGTTTGACTTTGAAACTGTATTGAAAATTGTTAGTGAAAATGAAAATTTTATTCAAACGTACAACTCTCAAACAAAAGTGACTCGGGGTTCGGACAAGTATTCAAATTTAACGTCAGAAAGTTGGTCCACCTGTAATTCACTGTATTTTATTGCAAATGTGAGTACTTTCGTTAAATGATATAATTAACGTATACAAATTTATAGCATTTTTAAGTCTGAATGTTCGTAGACATCAACAATGACGAATGACAATATGAGGATCTGAAACCATTATAGCTTGAAATCATATCTTATCGAAATCATTTCAGTTTTCGTAAGATTTCGCTTCCAAACTCAGTCATCGTGTAAGAGTAAACCTTTTTATAGACGATCAAAGGCGTGGCCATCTAAAGATTTTTATGTATTAATAGTTAATAGTAAAATCAAATGTGGCCGTTGTACAGACACAAAATATTTAAGTCCAAAATCGTATCGGGCCGTATTGTGATTTGATACCGTGACAATGGTTCAAGGCTATTGCAACAAATGTTAACCCTTATTTTTCTATTTTAAACAGATCGGATAGACGGTCTCGTAACTCGCCCCGTCCTCGGTCTCAGCTTTAAACCGTGAGATAAATCTACATATGTAGGTCGCGTTCATGAGAATACCAGAATACCTTCGACGGAAAATCTTACAAAAGAAATAGAGGTATTTATGACCGAAGCAGTCGAAGAGTTTAATTTTTTTATAAAACATATTTTTAAGGACCTGAATAACTTTGATAAATACCGCAGACAGAGGTCCACTGTATTATATTAGAATTGTTAGTATTACTACATCAACAATAAGGATACATAATATGTATTATGAAATTGTATCTAATTATTCAATGTGTCAACCCTAATAAGTAGCTACTCTGTGCTATAAAAAGTAAATCAAAAAGTATTCAGAAACAACACGTTTTCTACGTATAGACGATTTCGTACATTGAGTACGCGGACAGCGAATTACCAGATATGAATAGTGGCTATTTGGCCATTAATCTATTCGAAACGAGAAACAACAACGAAGATTTGGTACTGCGTGGCTCGGGGCCGGCGGGTCGTCGACCTCGTATCACACATTTCCATAGACGTGTTTATGAATGCGTATACGCTTGTAGACGTTGACTCAAAGGCGGCCATTGTTTGGAGCTATCGGATGCATGAAGTTTCTATTAAGAAGGCCATTTAACTGGTGTTGTTGGTTTGTGCTTCTTTTTTTGTAGAACATACATAGCATAAACACGCCCCACTTTTTTTCCTATAATTTTTAAGTATATGATTTTACCTCACGCACTAGCATATTCCCATTAAGCGGGCATTTAGGGAATTGATGAGGGAATCATTAGGTGTATATTTTGAGGGTAAGGGGTAAAAGGAAAGAGGTAATGTTTATAAATTTATGAATACAGAGTGTCACCACCCCTATTCATCCTGTGGGTGTCATAAGAGCCGACTAAGGGAGCAAACTACGCATCACAACAGCACTGCAAAGAGAAGGAAAACTTGAAGCAAATCCTATACCAATCCGTCTGGCCAACGTGGTATAGTAGACCAAAACCTCCTTTCTAAGGAGAGGCCTATGTCCAGCAGTGGACTACTAAATGCAGTTGGTGATGATGATGATGAATCTAATACGAAACGGCCAACGGTAAAAAGTTATTGGTGTCAAAAATACTCGCAACTTAGGTAATGTTGGCTAGCGTGTTTTATCAACCCTTTAACTTATCTAATAGTTCTGGCGATTCTTCAAGAGATCTGTATAATTAGGGGCCCATTAAACTAATTTAAAGCACTCTTGTCTTATCCTAAAATAATTAGACTATCCTTTTCATCATAAATAATAAGCTTTAGGTTCTTAAACCTTCTTTGAAATATACATTTTCATGGTAAAATAAACAGACAACTCGGCCAATGATATGTGGATACAAAATGGTCATTAAAAAGCAGCCTTGGGCTTCAAGTTAAACAATTCCATCTCGTTATGAGAATACATAATGTACTCGAATGAGGTGGGCAACGGTGACCATTTGTAATAATGGTACAATAATATTTTTTTCGGTTACGCCCTTCGCTGGATGCCCTTTTTATAGGTACTTTGTAAAATAATAAAAAACATATATGTTTATTACTAGCATTGCTTGATTTGTTTATGCTTATCCTTTATAAAATCAAAGAGATAAAATCATGAGTTATAACTACTTATGAATCTGAATCAAATCAAATCTACATCAAATCGACTTCTACAATCGTCTCATAGTATCTTTGAAGCTAGTACCCAAAGGTTTAAAAAAACTTTACACTCTTTAATTTTATGTAAATAGGTTTGAATGAGGGGTGAAATTGGTTGCCACTAGGTAAAAACGTTACCGTTGAGGGTGGCAACACTGACGTAGAGCGCCCGGCCAATTAAATATTTACCCGTCGAAGTCGCTCCTCGTTGCTCTGCTATTTTTTTCTCTAGTACGAGTCACGTTAGTTGTCAGAGAGTATTTCTACGAACAACGCCTTGTTAGAGCAACCTTCCTCACGTAATAACATTTCGTGTAGTATTGTTCAAATCCTTGTACAAAGAGGGATTATGTTTTGGTTGAGCGTTTGACACCACGTGGGCGTTGGACTATCATGTCAATACTGCTGTACTAATTATATACTTCTTATTAGATACTAGCTGAGACCCGCG